TCCATCCATCCATCCATCCATCCATCCATCCATCCATCCATCCATCCATCCATCCATCCATCCATCGTCTCCTAATCCGGAGTTGGGTCGCGGAGGCAGCAGCCTGAGCAGAGCCGCCCAGACTTCCTGATCCGCACACACCTCCTCCAGCTCTTCCGGGGGGACCCCTAGGCGTTCCCAGGCCAGTCTAGAGACATAGTCTCTCCAACGTGTCCTGGGTCTTCCCTGGGGCCTCCTCCCGGTGGGACGCGCCTGGAACACCTCCCCAGGGAGGTGTCCAGGAGGCATCCGAAGCAGATGCCCGAGCCACCCCAGCTGGCTCCTTTCCACGTGGAGGAGCAGCGGCTCTACTCCGAGCTCCTCCCACGTAACAGAGCTCCTCACCCTATCTCTAAGGGAGCGCCCAGCCAAACTCATTTCAGCCGCTTCTATCCGCGATCTCGTTCTTTCGGTCATTACCCAGATCTCATGACCATAGGTGAGGGTTGGGACATAGGCTTAATTTGCAATATGTTGTATACTATATATTTGCTTAACTGTACCTCATGCTATAAAATTGACAGCTTGTGTATGAAGACTGGCAATACTTTCTGTCACTACTGAGCACTGCACGTCTATCAAACAGTGTCAAAGTCCTCAACAGCTAATGCTACTAGTAAAAAAAAAACGTAAAGTTCTCCATGTAACTTTTCCATATGTTCCTTCTCTGTTGTCAGATGAAAAGGGTGGATGCAAGTCTTTGCACGCTCTGCAGGTGGAGAGACAAGAGCAGGCGGCGAGATCTGTTCTCATCAACTGCCAATCCAGAACCAGAGAGAAAACTTTACTCAAGTATTTATCAAGCCATGGAGACATTAAGAACTACTTCTTCTATGAAAGCGATGTAAGTAGAAGACCAAGTTGTTTTCCAACATATTTTAACATGTGACAAACTTCACTGCAAAGCAAGCCGTCAGTTTGGTGCTAAAGTTGTTTATGTTGTTCTGCAGGACCTGTATGCGGTAGTGGAGTTTGCCAAGCGGGAAAATGTTGCCTCTTTACTTGAAGGAGCCATCATCCCCAGTGGCAGCCATGAATCCGCAGTGCCTTTTAAATCAAGATTGCTGACGCTCAGAAACCTCCACACGGCGAAGTCACCGAACCAACAGTCAGGCCAGCAGTGCCAAGTTCAAACCGCTTTTCCCATCACTGAACTCATAAAGAACCTGTCCAGAGAGGACAGTGTAAGCAGTTTCGATATCAAACAAAAAAAATGACTGCTTCTATTATATGACTAGTTTGGTGATTTGGTTTACATTTAGAATCTGTTTAAACCGAACTGAATGAAACGCTGAATGTGTATAACACAGCCTGTCTCCTCATTTTCCCGCAGATAGACCAGCAGATAACCTCCCTAACAGAAACCTATCAGCTTACAGAGGAGAACACTCGGCTGCGTTTCCTCGTCTGCTCCCTGCTGAACGACATCACTGCGGCTTATTTCCCAGAATGCACCATCAAACCATTTGGCTCATCAGTGAATGGCTTTGGAAAGCTTGGATGTGACCTGGACATGTTTCTGGATCTGGACGGCATCAGTGGGTGGAATGTAAAGACGGTAATAATGTCTGTTTGGTAGTTTAGCAAGTGTCTTAAGACCACTGTAGGTTTGTCCATTGACAGCAAATCCAGCAGGCAGTGATTGCATTAACACTGCTAAACATTTTCATGTGTATGTTTTTCACATAACGTATAAAATGATGTTGAGTTGGACAAAACAAACCCACCAGGTCACAGTTAGAGCTTCTCAGTCGTGAGATTTCTCTACTTTTCTACATTTTATTTCAATCTAAAAAAACAAAACAAAAAACAATCTTTTAATTTAGGTTGTAAGTCAGTTGAAGACAGACATTAGGAAGTTAAAATTGAGTTTTCAGTACGTTTTAGCTTATAATAGACTAAATCAGTGATTCTCGAGCTTTTTTTGCTAGAAAAATGGGATGCTCAATACCACACATGAGCTGATTTAATTTCCATCAGTCATTAACAGTACTGCAGAGCAGCGTGTGGCTATAGAGTGGAATAAAGTAAATGATCAAAAATGATTCTGGTCAGCATATTTGTTTCTATAAATCCTCATCATTCAGCTGAGTTCCACTCCATAGTTTCCACCAGTACAGTCCGGCCACCCCTGCAATGACTCTGTGTCTACAATTTAGGCCAGTGTTATGCTTTCTGCCTCCATGAATACACAAGGGTCAGTGTATCGTAATTTTTCACTCCAAGTCTGTGAGGGGTCACGTAACCCCATCTACGGATGACTGTGCAGCCAGGATTTTGTGTCAAGGCCTGGAGTGTACATGCTCAGCAGTAGACTCCAAGTGGACTAGAAAGTAGTGAGCAAGTTGATTACAATCCTTGTGGATGCACACATAGACGGCTCTGTACACCACAGATGTGTAGTTGTTGTCTATCTACTTTCTAGCCTGCTTGGAATACTCGGGTTTATTCGTGTGCAGTAGGTTGGCGTTTACGTGTTCCACGAATGCACACTACTGCATGTTTAGCACAGTCACTGGACAAACATTTTGGGCTGCATTCAGACATCCATGAACAAGTCCTCATGGACTCTACGAATTTTACATCTGAGGGAACCCTTGCATATGCGCGAACACTGAAAGTATAACCCTGACCTATGCATATGTGGTGTGTGCACTCCAGGAGATGTAATCAAGGCTGAACCCAATTTGCTAAACAACTAATGGAGAAAATAATCTGCAGATGAACTGAATGTGCTTTGCAGTAATTTTAGATTACCAAAGTGAAGCAGCTCATGTAATTGATGCAGGTTCGACCTTTCTCATATCTATGAAGACCCTGAGTTCCCAAGAGTTTCCTTACATAATGGAAATGTAGTAGTTTACACTATAGTAAGCAGTCAGTTGGGTATGTTCACTTGTAATCTTCCCATCAAACATAAAGCAAACGCTGTGAAAATGAAAGCCAGATAAATAGTGCAAATGTAGTGCAGTAGTTAACAATTATGTGATTCAGGATTAATAAACATCTCTAAACTCTGTGTGTGCAGCCAAAATCAGGCCTGTTCCTGGAGTACCAGATGAAGCAAGCCAGCTCGGCGCGGGCAGTCACCCAAAACATCCTCTACGTCATTGGGGAGTGTGTGGACCAGTTTGGACCTGGGTGCACGAGAGTGCTCAAGATTCTGAATGCCCGAATCCCACTGGTCCGTTTCTCCCACAAGCCCTCTGGCTTTCAGTGTGACCTCACAGCCAACAACAGGTATTTACTGTGTACATACATTTTAATTCACCACAGTGAAACAGTGTGAAATGTACCTTTAATGTTGAAAAAAAATGTAAGTAACAGATAGGTCAGTTTCATGCAGTCAAGGGGTCACGTTCCGAAATGTCAATTTTGACTTGGTCATAGTCCTCTTGCTTCACAGAAACTGCTGCTGTTATGCTGTTCTGAATAGTGTTTTAGCCACACTGGCGTTGCAAAAGCCCCAAACAGAAACCCGATTCTGGCAGGAAGTACTGCGGTTCAGTGACACGCTTTCCTTGATGAAACTTAACAGGAGGACCAAAGTAGGGGCCGATTTGCATTTCACTTCTTCCCTTCTAACCTTAAAGACACCGCGGTCTCTGCTGGTGCGTGACACAAACATATACACACCTGCTAACAAACTGAAAACCACTCTGCAGTTTCTGAGGAAATAAAGTTGAACCACCCGCTGTGGGTGGATGTGGGGGGGACTTTTCTCATATCGTTCTGAGATCTTCAAAGCGCAGCACTTTCCTGCCTTTGTGTGTGTGTGTGTGTGTGTGTGTGTTAAAGGAAAGGAAAGTAACAGCAGCTGACCTTAGCAGAGTCAGTCACCAAAAGAAGCTGAAGGCTGCTCTCCAGTGGTGGTTTTAGTTTCCCTGACCCACACACATTCAGCAGAACACATGCAGCATTTCATTCTCTGATTGTTTTAGGTTCAAAATAGGTTCTTCAGCCCGTTCTGAAACTGTGCCAATACACTTTTTAGCTGAATGTATAGATATGTTTTGCCCAAACAGTGAACTGCTATACATTAATTCATATTAATTAGTGTTTGGTACATAAAATAAGCAGAAAATAAAAGCAAGGAAATGTTACCTGTACTTCTGTTGAAGTCTCCACTGTCAGAAAGTGAAGTTAATACTTGCAGCACAGTAGTGGTCAGCAGCTCTTTTACACTCTCCACAGGGTGGCGATGAAGAGCACAGAGCTGCTCTACCTGTACGGGGAGCTGGACCCGCGGGTGCGTGGCCTGGTGTTCACTGTGCGCTGCTGGGCCCGAACTCAGGGCATCACTAGCGGCATGCCAGGGGCCTGGATCACCAACTTCTCCCTCACTGTCATGGTGCTATTCTTCCTCCAGAAGAGAAGCCCTCCCATAATCCCCACACTGGATCACCTCCGGGACCTCGCAGGTACCTGCCAGCACTCATAGATTCTGGCCTGACTGTCACATCTGAATTCTGCCAATTAAGACTGTTTGTGACATTGTGAGATCATAACTTTTTTTTTTTTTTTTTTTTACTGACAGACAGTTCTGAAGTGTGGCTTACTTGATTATCACACAACACAAACACCGCTCTCCATACCTGATTTCTATCAGTGTAATATTTACTCAAGGCAGTTGAATGTAGAGGGAAGGACATCTTTATGCAGAACAATCACAATTCAAGTGTGAAAATGTTCCAGTTTAGTGGGTCAGAAGCCTCCATCAGACATGCACTTTCCATTTATCTGATGCCTTCTAAACATGTCGGCTTCATGTCTGAACGAACACCCTGGTAACTTTTCCGTTAATTTTAACAGCAGTCTTACCTGGTCGGACCAGGTAGCCTTTTAGACATCACTTTCAACACTGCATCTCTGACGTACTTGATGTAGTGTTACGATTTGAGGAAGCTTTTTTTTCTGCATTCAGCAGCAGTATCGGTCCACAAGCATCACGAGAGAGCAAAAGACAGTTTTCGGGCTGACTGTTCAGATTGAGACTCTCCAGTAATTCATGTAATTTGGGTTTAACAGGAGTAACAGGTGAAATGTAGTTTGTTGATTCCAGCTGTTTGTAGGAGTTTTTTTCTCCTGAGCTTTTTTTTTTTAACTGTTCATAAAGTAGCAGTTAGATTATCATTACATGGACACAATGATCAGTGTTTAGCACATCATAAATAAACGAGGCTGTTAGTTGACTGGACAGCTTAATAAGTCGCTGTTGATTTAGATTTTGTCGTTCATTAGTGCATCACTTGTATTATACAGCACTTGATCTACTGCCTAGTCTCATCCCTATCACAGATACTGTGTGTCGTGGATCTACAGAATTAACCCTGAGGAACATTCATGTAAAAGTGAGCTATGTCTGAGTGACAGAATACCGTCGCTGTAACAGATTGATGAAGTAGTAAAGTTACACATTCGCGATTGGAAAGTGCAAGAGTAAAAGCCCCACAGCGAGGATTCATTTTTTTAAGTAATTACATTTTCAAGTAAAAATAACTTTGAGTTTGTTTGACCAAACAAAACTCAAACCAGCAAAACATTATGTTTGCCATCAAAAAGGAGAAAGAAAAGCAGTAAACTGGCACGTTTAAGAACCTTGGCTCAGAGAATGTTTGGTATTTTTGATTGACTGATTAAGTGATTAATCGGATTACGTAGGGCTGCAAAGTCAGTGAAGTCAAGACTTCAAGTCACTGAATCTATAAAAAGGTTAAAAAAAACAAAACCTGTCACAGTTAAATAAAGTTTAAAGAGCATACTACAAGGCAAAGTCAACTTAGCCAGACTTTCTTTGTGCTAGCTGGCTTAACAAAACCTAAATCCCCATCAGAGATAACGGGTATCATTGTTACCCAGGTTTTCTAAAATAGTTGCTGATAATGATCTACTTACCTAATTTGAGCTTTAGACTAATTATTGATCAGGGTTTCATGAGAGGAAGTTCTCAATGACTTTGACTTGTAAACAAATTTGAAACCTCTTGTTAGTTATGTGCCTACTTGTTGGAACCGCTTTTACCACATGATTTTCCTGCTTTCAAAGATAAAAATAGAAGAGAATTTGGTATACTTACGGAGTCTTTAGCTGTGGGTTCGTAGTGACTTTTCTGGAGTAGCTCTGTTCTTCTGTGCAGGATGACTGTAAAATAGTTGCTCGATCAATCTTTGACACGTCCAAGACTTAAAAATATAACTGCAGCCAAAGGCAACGTTTCAATGTCACATGTGACCGAGCCACCCAAACTGCAAAGAGCGTCTTCACCTGTTTTGTTTAATGCATGCAATTCTAGTGGCCTTTGTTTTGGCTCTGGAGAAGCCTTAAGGTCATCCTTTACCTTCCTATTACCATATATATGTGTGTAATGAATGTGGGACCAGTGGGCCGTTCTACAGCAACCACCATCACACAGGTCTGCCTGGGAGTCCACCTCAACTCCTCCACCTCTCCCTCCCTCTTTCACCTTGACTGCCTGATAATTGCCTTCCAAAAGCAATCTTCCTCCACCTCCTCCCCCCCGTCGCCCTTCTCCTCCTCCTCCTCCTCCTCTTCCTCGGCCCCGTTTAGCTCAAACTCTATCACACAGAGTGCTTACAGGACAATAAAAGGCCCATCACTCTGGGAAGGTCGATGACCCCGCCTCTTCCAGACACACACGTACGAGCATACAGGCAGCTATTTAAACAGTGGTTTAACGCGCACACACCAGCCTCATGGTGGTGAAGGAGACTGGTAACAAGGGCATGGCGGAGACATAAACCAGCCAAGCAAGGTCGCGATCCGTGCTGTCTTCGTTCGTTTTGTTGACCACCATCATACGCACACATACACAAGCACTTGCTCTCTCTCTTGTTCCCTCGGCGTCTTTGTTTCCTCTCCATGAATTCCCCGACACCATCCATCTGTGTCTTGTTTACGACCATCATAGGCGTGTAAAGGCAGTCATTTTACCTTGTATCCTCGCTCTCGTCCCCACAAGGTCCCGCAGACAAGTGCGTGATTGAGGGGAACGACTGCACGTTTGTCAGCGATTTCAGCAAAATCCAGCTCCAGAGCAACACAGAGACACTAGGTGAGCACGGGAGCGTAGAATCCGAGCTGCAGGGCTACAGCTCAGTTTAATTGATTGCTGTACTTGTGTTTGCAGGCTAACTTTTTTTTTTCATACTTTGTTTCAGAACAACTGCTTCGTGAGTTCTTTGAGTTCTACGGCACTTTTCAATTCAGTAAGATGTCCCTAAGTATCAGAAAGGTATGTATGGTTACCTGTAATGTCCCTAAGATGCCAACTTCTTACAGTTTAGGTTGTCTTATGAACTTTAGGCTAAGTGCAAAGCTGAAATAGATGCTTACATTTAATCCTCTTTTTGGCATCTTTTACATAAATATGATGGTAGTTTTACATGCTGGTCTTATATCCTAAAAAACACCTTTATCACTTTTGTCTAACAATCAGAAAGACAGTTTTGCATGATTAGAACATTCCATATCACTTTCAACCCAGTCTACCGTGAATGTTGCCAGATTATTTTAAAGACTGCAGCAGGTAGAGTACCACAGAACTAGTTTATTGTTTAATCATCAGTTTTCTTCATGGAGAGAAATCAGATGAATAATTCAGGAAACCTGAAGGAGCCAATGTTGAGGAGATTGTCAATGTAAAGGATTTGTCACTCACAGTGCAGGAAAAAAATGTTTAGAAAATCCCAATACTCATCAGGAATTCCTTTCCTTACTTTTTGTTTTTATTAATGCCATCTGCATGAATAATTAAACATCTCATCATACATTATTAAATGCTACATGTCAATGAGTGGTTAAAACCTCTGAAACAGTTGTACCTACAGCATAACTTTTTTATGTCATTTAATTTTATTTCACCACACCAGGCAAGACATTAAGAACAATTCTTATTTAAAATGACAGCCTGGCAAGTGCCAGAAGGTACATTTTGGATGATGGTTTTTATGGATGACGCTGATGACGGCCACAAAAACCAAATGTGGTGAAGGTGCTCCTGAAACCACAGCTGTTGCTGTGCATCATAAAACAGGCTGTGGAATTTCCCTATAAATGTTCAGACTGTGGAGAAAATCTATGACACTGGCCATTATTTCAAGCCTTAACAGCAAAGTTTCTGATACTGTAGTTCCTCTGTCAAGTCACATTGAGATATAGCTGTAAGGAACATTAATGTGAAAGCCACGTATGGTGGATTATTCCACACTAATATACTAATTTGTGCATATGTTGGCCAACAAGAAGCAAGAAATGTCAGGAGAGAAATGCGACTTTATAATATGTGAGTTAATGGGAGTCCTGACGTAGCTGTCTGTAGTGTACATTTAGATCTGTGGTTGTGTGTCAGATTTTACCAGTTGATCCTCACATGGCTTCTTGATGCCGTGGCCTGACATAGCGTAACCTATGAACATCGTCATGGCATGCCTTCTTCATACACGTTTCAGGCTTCAGCCCTTTGCTTCTCACTTCTTCACTTTGAATGGGGTGATGTCATGTGTTGCCAAACTGAACTGTTCATTGCTTCTGATGGAATGTTGAGAAAAGTGAACTTTTGCAAGCTGCAGTACAGCCAGCAGACAATCAACCCATTTTTCAATTCAAATGGCTATGACGGTTGCACCGGTAAAGACCAGACCGAGGCATCACACTCGCTGCCACAACTGTTACCGTAACATGTGTGTGTTTGGCGTACCACTAAAGTGTACACTAATCAGTTACAACATTAAAACCACCAATTCTTAGCTGTCCGACTATGATCGAAGCAGGACCTCTGGGGGTGTCCTGTGGTGTTCGGCACTGTGACGTTGGCAGTGGATCCTTTGGGTCTTGCGGGCTGACTCTCCATAGATCAGGCTTGTTCCAACGTAGATGCTCTGTTAATGCCATGGGTTTTTTACCGTTGTCCTCGAGCTGGTTGCTAGCAATTTTTGTAGGGTGGTGACGAGTATTATTGCCACTGGGGTGTGTGTTTGACCTGTAGCAATGTTTAGATGGGTGCTTTGTGTCACAGTAACAGCCACATGAACGCCCAGACCTAAGGTTTCCCAGCAGAACGCTGCATTGTGACAGGAGGATCAGTGGTATTGACTTCCCTTGTCAGTGTTCTTAATGAAAATTCTTAAAACATAAAACACATATGTTGGTATATGCTGCTTGTTTATGAAACAAAGAAGAAAAGAAATATAATAGTGTTTTTGGTTTCTTGTATGCCAGGCTGTACTAATGAGATGCTCTGTCTGATTAGTCAGGTCTTCCTGCTATTCGGATGGCCTAAAACTGAGCTTGAAAAATCAAACCAGTGTCTCATTGAGGAACTAGAACAAATAATTAAAACACTTTCAGACAGAACTTTAGCATTTGAGGAAAGCCAGTATAGTCTTCTTTCAACTTTTCCTCCCAGCTGAGTTCCAGCAGGGAAATCTGTTGGTAATAAAAGCAGTGTTTGCTGGATGGCGTCTTCCCACACACACAGATGACAGCTGTCCCTGTCTTATGTGATTGATGCCAGCCCCACGGGGGCTTGGCGCCCTTGAGCTGAGATCCCAATTAGGAGCTCTGTCATACTAAGTGTAAACAAATGCATATTTGTTCTGTTTAGACCCGTATTTATCTTGTTGTTCCCTGTGTGTGCCTGTGTAATACCCCTTATAGGCACTGAAAGAGCATCCACAGAGGAAGTCAGTCAAAGTTTACATCAAGGGGGAGTATTGAGGGCTAATTTCTCCTCTCTACCTGTACAGGATAGTTGATTAACCTACTGCTTAAAATGTTCAACTTTGAATAATTTGCTTCTTACAACCTATTAGTCTTCCCAGCAGAAATTATGTTGATAAAATAGGTCTTCGTGCTTCGGTGGCACAATATATGAGATGCAGGGACTTTGCCAGTGCTTGGAGTTTAATGAATTGATACCTCTGGGAAAGAGAGTCTAATACATAAAACTAATATGAAGTTTTAGAGGAAGCCTGCTGGTAGACTGTGGCCATGACCCATGCCTATAGGCTTTCACCAGTGGAGCAACAGCCATAAATCTGCTTTACTGTGCTACAATTCTCCGGTTCGCTCCATTCCTCTGACTGATGGCTTTATGTTTCCATCTTCTATCCGTCCCGCCCCACCCACAGTGTCATCCCTTTATCCCTGCATCCTCTTCACTGTCAGGGTTTAGACCGGATACAGCATGCAAAGTAGCATGGAAGGTTCTTGACTTCTCTCTGACCCACATTTTGATGGTTCATTTGACGTCCATGACTGCTAGACACAAGCGCAGACCCTATATGCTTCCGTTGCTAACACGCTCAGTATGTTTTCATAGGAGCCTAACTCGTTCTTTCATTTTTTTGGTCCCTTTAACAAATTTCTCTCCTCTCGTCATGAGTCAAGTCAAAATGTCCTCTAGAGCCATGTCTTTTTCCTCTCCTATCATCTGCTAGCCTGCAGAGAGGTGTTTCATTCAGCTATGCGTGCCCCAGATACAGCAGGAAAGAGCTAAAACCATGACCAACAGGATAGATGGACCATAGCATACAGTACACGCAGGCCTGCATTTAAGGCTGCTGCTGCTTACCAATGTGTTTTCAACTGCCAGCATTGTCCCCTTCCTTCTCTCCAGGGTCAAGAGATGAACAAGCCAGAGATGGGCCCGCTGCACATCGAGAACCCGTTCGAAACCTCTCTGAACGTCAGCAAGAACGTCAACACCAGTCAGTTAGACCGCTTCGTGGCTTTGTGTCAGGAGAGCTCCTGGCTGCTCCAGCAGAGTGAAACCAACAAACCCAAAGTTAACGAGGATTCTTACAACGTCCTACCTTGGGGACTTGCTACCCTCCTTCTGCCCTCACAAGTTGCAACGATCAACACTCGCAAGAAAAAGAGACGGGAGCCAGCCAGTGCGAGGATCAAGAGTTTGCTGGAATCCCTAAAGAATAAAAATGAGCCAAAGATGAGCGAAGGACTCTAGAAAATCTCAGAAACAATCTTCATTCTCTTATTAGTATTTTAACCCATGCATCGATGGCAGCCTTTTGGTGTGACTGTCCAGTCCCTCACCTTAAAGGTGAGAACAGAGCAGAGGCAGCATCTGCAGAGACTGGCCTGCAGTGCCAAACATGGACACTGGAGGGTGTGACTGAGGCCTGTTTGTGCATGTCTGGGACCTGAAATAAGGGAGTGATGACTGTGTACTTTGCTGTGACTGTAACCCACTCTGTTGTAATTAAAGGGAGTACTGTGGAAATAAGTCCTTCCAGATGCTTATTTAGCAGTTAAGACTGTATTTTCACAGGTTGATTTGATTTGAAATCTGTGTTATTAGATGTTATCAGCACAGTACACACACATCATGTGTTTGCACTTAAAACAAAATCATTATGGATATATTTTGATCATATTCATGATAAAATATAGGTGGAATAATCAAGATTTTACTAAAAAGTGTATACGCTTCTTATGCCCATTATCAAGATTAACGATAGGCAGCTAAAGGGTGGCAGAAAACTACACAACAGTAGTTTAAAAGGAGCATAGAGAGGATTTATACAACATCCTATTCATGTGTTGTTAAATTAAATTCAGAGTTTGAAAACAGTTTCCCGAAGCAAGATTTCCCATTTTGTTCATGCTGATGAGATGGAGGTGTCTCTGTGTATCCAGTGGAGTGAAGGAGTGGTGCAGGTAGTTTGTGTGTAAAATCGTATTGGAAGAATGAGTAGAGTTTGTTTTACTTGAAAAGACTTGTAGCTAAAGCCTCAATCACATTAAAATTATGACCACTATTATAAGAAGGATAGTCGAGGATACCTTCATGTCACTGTGGCAGAATTACATATACAGTCATGACTCGATGATCGGACCCTTAACAATCCGAAAACCTTGCTATCCAACAGGTTTTTAGGAAAACTGAACGGAACCCATGAAAAATAGTCTTAACATACCGACAGCCTTGAATTCCAACTCCGTCATGACATTTTATGTCACAAATAAGGATAACAGCATATTATCTGACTGAACAATCCCACAGATTGGCTACGTTCACACTGCAGGACTTCATGCTCAATTTGGATTTTTTTGTGAAATCCGTTTTTCTTGCGAGTTCATTCACATTTCCAATTAAATGCACTTGTATGTGATCTGCTGTGTGAACTTCATACGACCCAAAAGTGTCCCACATGTGCAGAAGAGGACACGATGACATCACACAACGCGAACATGCTCAGTGTTTACAGAAGTAAACACGGATGGTGGCGGCAGTGGCGATGGTGGAAACAGAACTGGAATTGCTATCCTAAACTGGCACAGCAGCCAAGTACTGCCTGTGCGTTCAGGCCACTTCTACCCCGTCGGAGCACACCCTCGGGGTGGAAGTGTCCCCCCCGTCCTCGCAGAATATTCGAATATTCATCATTAATTGGGCCTAAATATTCCAGAGACCAGAAAGTGCTATTGGGACCAGCCCTACTAGTTATTATAACAACTATGAACAACAAATATTAACAACACATTACCCTTTAAGCATCAAGCCCTCCTTGTATCTCGACCTCCGTCTTGACAATCCAACAGCCTTGCTGTCCGACATAAAAGAAACTTCTACATTTAGTGTCGGATTATCGAATCACGACTGTACATCAAAAAAGAATTGGGAATAGAACTGATAGAGCTCATTTCAATGGTTTACAGCTTATAGCTGACTTCACTTGCTAATGAATTTCTGCTAATGTGTAAGACCATATGAGTAAATAATTTGAGCTGTTTATTGGTTCTGACTACAAAGTTAGCATGAGCGCTAACCACTATGGCCTTGTGGCTGCAGCCAATCAACTTTAGTTGTCAAGCTAATGCAAAAAAGCTTCAACACAAAATAGCTGCTGGCACACACTGGTACAATATTTTCTTTTGTAAGCACATGCCTTTTCTCTTAATGAAGGACCACAAGAGTTTATTGTGTTATCTGTACATTTTGTGCATTTATTGGCTCTTCTCAAATTGTAAAATAAACTAAAGAGAGTAGCTGGCTACGTTTGTTTGCTTTAGCTTGCTGGATAAAATACTTTAGCTGCTGTTGCAGGATTTTAAAAGATGATAAGATGGTTTTATTTACAGTCAGCTTTTGAGTGTTAAGGTAAAGACCAAAAACTCTAAAAAGTAAAGTAAGTGAGAATTAAAAATGTTTTTTTTAATTAGGATATTACTGATAAAAGTAAAAGTGATTTTGTTATACCAACCAAATGGAGATTAAAGGATAATATGTATATGGATTTATGTTTATTTCTTAGACTCCATTTTGATGAATAGGAATCACTTTTGGGCTGCAAGGTGGCTCGGTGGTTAGCATTGTCGCCTCGCAGCTAGAAGATCCCGGTTAGGACACCCACGATGCGTGGAGTTTGCATGTTCTCCTGGTGCAGTGTGGGTTTTCTCTGGGTTCTCCGGCTTCCTCCCACAGTCCAAAAACATGTTGAGGTTAATTGGTGATTCTAAATTTTCTGTAGGTGTGAATGTGAGTGTGCTTGGTTGTCTGTCTCTAAGTGTAGCCCTGTGATAGACTGGTGACCTGTCCAGGTGAACCTGCCTTCACCCTGAGTCAGCTGGGATAGACTCCAGCCCCCCATGACCCTAGTGAGGATTAAGCGGTGTACACATCCCTTAATCTGATTTCATCTAATTACTGAGCCAAACAGAAAAGGTGAAATCTGCCTGCTTGTTTTGATGATCAGTGTTGATACCATACACAACATCATAAACAGTCCAGGGGAAAAGTCAGCCACGAATTCATTCACGTTTTAAGAAGGATATCCCCGTATCTGGAACCAAGGCCAGACTTCACAACATCATGTCTGCTGCTGCATGCTGTGTTGAGTTTTAAAAGCGTACTCCTTCTCATTAACCCTGATAATACAGACTTCTTGTTGAGCTAGTCTTCATTGTCTTCTTCACATCTTCTCAGCCTTTCCACAGACCTGTGCACTTTAAAGAAGCTTCTTGTATCTGCAGTGCCCCCAGCAGCCTTTCATGCAGTCACATCTAGAGAGTTTAAGGATGGTTTGCCATTTTGGAAATGACTCACAGTGATGTGGCAGGCACGGGGGCCACGTTCCTTTGAGCCATTTTTGCAATGACTGAAAATATTCAAGGCCTAAACTGTTATGTGCTGTATTGAAAAAGTGAACATATCCCCTTGTATTTGAAACACATCACCTGGAATCTCTGGGGCGATATCTGCTGAGGGCCGGAGTTACAATGCCAGATCTGGTCTTGTCTCTATTCCATGAGCTTCACTAATTCAACTCAGTCTGTCCTTTCTTTCGTCCGTGTTTGGAAAAAAAACAAAAACACGAACAGTTGTGTCTGTGCTAACTGTGAAGCACTGACTCACTCATAGAAGCTGTGATATTTACCCTAACTTTCAGGCCTTCTGGGAAATGGTGTTCATTAAAGGTCAGTAAAAACATAAGTGTTGAATTAACAACATTAGATCATTTTTCAAAAAAACTTCAGTTCTTATCTAAACCCGTGAAATCGAGGGACACTATGTGCTGCACAGAAAGACCGATCCAGACTGTGTTTTCAGTTACTAGCATAGCTGTGAATGTCAGTGAGATCTTGAATGAGGTCTTCTTACTGATGGAACAGAAAATGGAAGTTTAAGTTCCACTCCAGTGATCTATATAATCATCTCAGAAGCTAATTATGGTTAAATACAGCACTGAAACTACCAGCCTTTTTACATCTGGTGTAAAGCTTTTGTCAGCAAATGATCAGTAAGAGTCACATATTGGTGCAAGCTTGTGTTACTTTTATACAGAATTGGACAACCCGTCAACTTGGTCACCCAATTCATTGGAACCAAAGTGGACCAGCTTTGTGGTGAAGTCTGCCGAATGCATTGACCTCTCTGAAAAGCCACTGGCTGATGTGTCATGGTGAATATGTGGATAAGGACAAACCAAGTTCTAGACAGAGAAGCCTTTTAATTCAGTTTCCAGTGTCTACTAATCACATCCCTTGAAATGTGGTCCAAACCAGAGTTGGTATAAAGGTCATTCACATGCTCTTTTTTTTTTTTAAGTTACATAACTTGAGAGTATATATGTGCTCGAGATAGAGGGAAGACAAAAGACCTCAGGGTGCATGTGCTAAAAGTGCATGCACAGGTTCACATCCTATGAGAGTGCCTGAGTGTGTTTGTAAATGTGTGTTTCAGACCCATGGGACGAGGTTTGAGGAGTGGGGAGTGTGCGGCCCACAGCTGTTTTTCCGCTCATTGCCATGGGAGGTCGGAGGGGTGAGAGGATACACTTTTAACTACCTCTCCCTCCCCTCCTGCCACCAGTCCACCCTTTTGCCACGGGGGCACGGCACAAATGGGAGTAAAGGAGTGAGGCGGCTTTGAACTTCACTCACTGTCCCTGCCTCCTCTCTTCCAGCTTACATTTCTCTTTCAAATTCAGCGTGCCTCTCTCTCTATCTCAGTCATCTGTTTTCCTCTCCCCACAGAGTGGCAACGTTCTTTGAGGTTTGTGGAGTTTGTTTATTTCCATGAGTGAGTTTCTGACTGATGGATCTGCTCTGGTGGAGCAACAGAGCGGTTATGAAACTCGGTGGTTAGAGAAGCACTGGGTGGGGAAATCAACACCTCTGGGGAATTTGATGAAATGCGACTGCTGGGTGTTGTGGGGTTCATTTTGAAGGAGCTCGATGTCAGCACTGTGGATCTTCTGATTTGTAGGTGGTGGTTTAAAACGTGCAGTACTGTTTTTTAAATTTATAGACCTCTCTTTGATGGTACTCTCTCCATTTATTGAACAGTTTATGTGGTAATTATGGGCAGAGATAGAAACTGTGGCCACTTGCCAAAAGGTTGCCACAGGCCACTGTCAAGGTTAATCATATTTTTTTCAGCTCATCCCCACCATTGCAGTCAAGGTTTTATGTGACCATCTCCCAGTGATAGAGCACTTTAGCCTGCAAAGGGACCAAGACTGTGTTTGGGTAACCTACCCAGCAGTGACCTTCCTCCAGGGTGTTTGCAGGCGGCACATCGTGGGCTCTGATTTATTAGGAAAACTGGTGAAAAATCTATGATGGATTGGCCCTCTCACAGGAAGTCCAGAGGTTCAGCAGGGCGATGGCCCGAGTTTATGTTGCTGCCTTTTCCTTGGCTCCTAATGCGCCTTCAGAGCCTGAAAGAATGTAAAAAGGTGGCTTGAGGGTTTGAAAAACACGAGAGGTATTTGAGAAAATATGGTAAGGGAAGGAAAGTAAGGAAAACAAGAAATGAGAAGGATCTTGGCATTTTGAAGCTGATATCCCCCCAAAAGTCCTGAACAGCCTCTTTCACAGAGCTTTGTTAGCATTCGAGGAAAAGGCTTTTGCTTGTGGGAGAACATGGTGTTACTGGCTGCTGTTTGATGTGGAGGCCTTATCAGTTAGAGTGCTTTCAGAAGTTATTTTATCAAGCCGTCCAATCACAGTGCCACTCCTCCTACTTACCTCCACGGACTTCACAAAGACGTGTGAGCCATTTGGAGAAAGTAATCTCTAAAACACTTCCCCTCGCAGTTCCATGAATTGTCCCTGCAACATTGTGAGAGGTCATTACGCTTGTTTTCGTGGTTGAGCAACAAGCGCTGTAGTGGCCCCTCTCGCTCAGCACCACCAGCACCACGGTTGGCTTTGTGTAGGATATGGTGAGCGTGAGCAGGGAGCGCTGAAATGCACTTGCCACACGCCAAGGTCCCCGAGGTTATCACGGTGTGAATCTCTGGCTGCAGACTTTCTGTTG